AAAATCCCAGAGAAACACGAAGTATGGTTTTCTCTATTGAGCTGAGAGAGGAAACTTTTAAATAATGATTTAATTTTTTAAAAAAGAAAAAGAATCAAAGCCTCAGTTCCAATATAAAAGAGGATTTCGAGAGTCACCCCAGCCTCTAGAGTAAATACATAATTAAGTAGGGTTTTTTAAAGCATGCTTAATTAGGCCCCAAAGCCCCCCTTAATAGACTCCCCCATCTCTCCCCAATTAGGCACCACTTTCCCAAGAGACTCCAGAGGCTCAGTTAATTATGCAAATAAGGCACATACTATTCCCAGGAAAAGAATTATGAATATTTGTGGAAAAACACATCTCTTAGCATGTTCAAAAAACAAAACAAAACAAAAATCCCTGCAAGTTTCAAATTTTTAAAAATACTGAAGAGTCCCGAGAACAGAAACAGAATCAATCAAATATTGGTTCTGGTGCAGACATGACAAAAATGCTAGATGATTCTCATTACCATTACAAGAAAAGAAAAGATGACACAATGCAAATCAAAGCCAGTGTTCATTTGCTATGGTGGGTAATATCTGTAATGATGGCTCAGCTGGGAATGGGTTTGTTATACTTTAAACTCAAGAGCATGCAGAGAAAGCTGCAAGAAAAAGCCCGGCTATTTTAACTGCTGAGGCTGCACTGTCCAGTGCAACCACTAACAAGGCTGCCAGAACCATGATGGCTCTTCCTTTGCTTTCAGAAAATGCTCATTTTGGCATTTTGTGATCAAAGTGCCAGCTGAAATTTCAATTTCAAAATGAGGGCTTTGGGCCCACAAAAGTACCTTTTTTAATACCTAAAGAAGACACTGATGCATTTTGCACATTTCTGTAACTTCAGGCTTTTTGTTGTTGTTCAGTCGCACAGTCGAGTCCAACTCTTCACGACCCCATGGACCAGCTCCCGCCAGGCCCTCCTGTCTTCCGCCGTCCTCTGAAGTTGGCTCAATTTCATGTTCGTTGCATCTATGACACTGTCTAACCATCTCATCCTTTGCCGTCCCCGTCTTCTTTGACCTTCAATCTTTCCCAGCATCAGGGTCTTTTCCAGTGAGTGCTCCCTTCTCATTTGGTGGCCAAAGTATTTGAGCTTCAGTTTCATTATCTGGCCTTCCAGGGAACAGTCAGGGTTGATTTCTTTTAGGATTGACTGATTTGATCTTTTTGCAGTCCAAGGGACTCTCAAGAGTCTCCTCCAGCACCATAGTTCAAAAGCATCTATTCTTCGGCGCTCGGCCTTCCTTATAGTCCAGCTCTCGCAGCCATACATGACTACTGGGAATACCATTGCTTTGACCATGCGGACTTTTGTTGGCAGGGTGATGTCTCTACTTTTTATCATGCTGTTTAGGTTCGCCATCGCTTTCCTCTCAAGGAGCAGGCGTCTTTTAATTTCATGGCTGCTGTCACAGTCTGCGGTGATCTGGGATCCCAGGAACGTGAAGTCTGTCACTACTTCCACGACTTCCCCTTCTATTTGCCAAGGAGTGATGGGGCCGGATGCCATGATCTTAGTTTTTTTGATGTTGAGCTTCAAGCCCACTTTTGCGCTCTCCTCTTTTACCCTGAGCAAGAGGCTCTTGAGGTCCTCTTCACTTTCACTTTCAGGCTACATGACGGTAATGTGCTTTACACGGTAGCTACCCTTGGAATCAAAGTTCAAAACGCAGCTGCCTGTTTGCTGACAAGGACTAGCTGTTTCCATAATGGGATGCCAGTATTCAAACAGCTTCAGTGGCTTCCTTTTTGGCTTCCAGGGTCAGTTCAAGGTGCTAACCTTTAAAGCCCTTCGTGACCTGGGAGCGACAAACTAGAATGGCTGCCAATTATGCTCCACTGGGGATTGCTGGCTGAAGGTCCCTTTCTTAGAATTGCACATTTGGCTGAACTTGGCCCCATGGCTTCTCTGCCCACCCCACCCCCCCACACCTATGAAGCAAACCTCCCTGGGAGATGCAAGAGCTATCCTCCTTATTGGCCCTTCAGGAAGGCAGTAGAAATCATTTCATTTCAGAGGATTTTTTTGTCTGAATTGATTTGTGCCAGGACTGTTGCCATATATAAGGTTTCATACTTTTAAAAATGTTGTTTTTAATTTGATTGATTGCTATCCATCTTGGGCGCACTGGGGAAAGGCGAGATACAAATCTTTTAATAGGTAAATGAGTTAATGGGCATGATCCAGCCCAAGTCTCAGTGATGCTATAGCCACCAGCACTCTCCCTTTATTTTCTATTCAAACCCAGCTTAAAACACATATGTGAAATGTTTGTGAAATGTTTGCCTTAACCAGGGGTCATTTCCTACAGGAGCACACAGGAGCGGAGCTCCGGCAGTAAAGAGCTCAGGGGCCGGGCCCATGCAACAAGCCCCCCCCCCTGCTCCCAGCAGCTCTCAGTCAGAGCAAGAAGCAGCCAGGTAAGTTGCAGAGCCCCCTCCCGGCCCCCCGGCCCCAAACAGTCCAGTGGCACCTTTAAGACCAAGTTTCATTCAGGCACAAGCTCTCCCTCCTCTGCGAGGACAGATCTGTGCGTCCCCCCCCCCCCCCAATAGCTAGCAATCCAAAACAGTCCAGTGGAGCCTGAGCAGTGGGCATTGCCTTCTGACACACTTCCGATGATGTCAGGGTGTGTGGCATATGCAAATAAGTTGTGCTAATGAGTTATGCTAATGAGCTCCTGCACCTCTTTTTTTATGAAATGACCCCTGGCCTTAACTCTTTAAGCTTCATCCCCTTCAAATAACACCAAGGCCACACAGTTGTTAACTTCATTTGCTCCAGCCCAAACCCTTACCTCCTCAACCTCCCTCCCTGTCCTCCTCTCCACACCATTTTGATATAAATTTACAGCTACTTCAGAGAAGCTTTCACAAGTGAGGGGTTACCCATCTTTACTATTCCAATATAGCATACAGGTCTTTGCATCTCCTGAAATGTTCTAAGCAACTGTGATTCCTGTGACTCAGCAACGAACAGTGGAACCAGCACCCTGGTGAGCATTCAAGCATTAGTGGTCCAGGAGATTTGCAGTCAGAACCAGGTGGTGAAGTGTTTTTCACCAACTTGTGTTCATGCTTAGGGAGGTGGTACAGCATGGTGCTATGAGAATTCCATCCTCTCAAGTCAACAGAAGGTACTTTGCACCGAAAAAGTTCCACCATCAATGGAGTGGATCTGAAGGATCCCACCCATTTTTTGCAAAGAACCTGGAGTACTGAGTGATATAAATGACAAATACTATTAGTGCTATCTCCAATATTTTCCACAACTATTTGATGACTGTTTTCTCTCTCTCTCTCTCTCTCTCTCTCTCTCTCTCTCTAGTTGTTGTTGTTGTTATTATGTTATTATAATTAAATTATTTGCCTGACTACATGTTTGTTATGATACATTTGGGGTTTTTTTTATAGCACACAATTTGTTACAAATGCTTTTGAGGCTCCCTTCCTTGGCTGTCATTATTTTCACATGAACTAGCACAACTCCAATACTTGGTAGATTCTGTTACATATCTGACACACACCAAAATTATGAGGTAGAAACTGGATTTTCACCCTAGTCAGCTAGCTGTAATGTTTTATAGACGGGGTTGGGGGGGGGGGAGTCATGAGTTTGTAGGATGAATATATTGTCCACATTTTCTCCAGGTCCCCAAGGAATACAAAACTCTGTCTCTGTTGAAACCGACATGAGATTTCCATAAACTGCAGGACTTGGACCTTGCAGGGATCTAGAAAAAGAGTTGATTTACCCTGCTTGCTCCACAACACTGGTTTCACAGCCTTCTGGCAAGACAGTCTAATGATACAGGATGGCCAAAGTCTACACTGCAGAATGAGAAAGCTATCTCTCTGCATTTGGTATGAAACCCCTGCTTTGTTGAGCCAGAAAACACACATACGCAGTAAGAACGAATTATCCCATTCTAGTAAAAGCAATATTTGCAGATATTAATAGGCAGTTATTTCTGAAAAGAAAAAAAAATCATAAGGCACTATGACTCCACAAGCAACTGTAATACATGTAGGCATTTTATGTACTTTCAAAACTTTGCTAAACATGTCTGTGGTATTAACGCTTCACCGATGGGGGGAAGAATACCTTTGATCTGCCTCAGGGCAAGATGCACTTACATCTAAGTATGAAAACTTCCCACAGGCAAAGGGCTCTGCTTGGTGTCGTTTAAAACCACCCTTTCAGTGCTGCCCAATATGTCATGAAATGCTTGTCACAAATAAATGCATGAAGCTGCCTTATAACAAGGCCAAACTGCTCCATGTAGCTCAGTGTTGCCTGGACTGACTGGCAGCAACATTCCATGATCTCAAGCCGAAAAAGGTCTTTTCCAACACCTGCCACTTGAGAGCTTTTAACTGGAGAGGTCAGGGATTGAACCTGGGACCTTCTCTGTGCAAACTGTACTCTGTCACTGAGACACAGCCTTCAACATGTTCCTGAAACTTTTAGTGATGAAGAAAGGTACAGGAAATAGTGGACATTACTTTGGCTGGTGCTTTGATCAGTAAGGAAGCTGAACAATCAACAATATTTCTGCATGAGTTAAAAACTGACTCCACATCTTTAGAGTTCGTGCAGACATAGCCAGCTCCTCTCAGGGAGGGCGCCACCACAGAAAAGTCTCTGCTTTTAACAAATCAAGCTCTTATGATAGAAATAAAACCTCTGGGGAACTGAGCAGTTTTTGTGAAGAGAGGCACATTTTTAAAATGTCCTATACAACGTCTTCCCAGAGGTTGAACATGATTGCCCTGGTGTGACTGAAAACTTGAACAAATGGCTCACATCACTCGCCATTATAGTATAACAGTAAAGGATGCAGAGTGCAGACTGAGAGTCAGCATTTTAGAACGGGAATGCATTTCAACTGAAAAACACAATGCAAGCTTCCACTTTGGGGTCCTACTGCCTCTTAATATTTTTTTTAAAGAAAGGGCAATGGTCTAACTTACCTTGCCATCAAATTTTGAATATTCATTGAACGGGTTGTTCAGCTGCAGGGGGCACTGCTCCAGCCGGACTGAAAGGATCGACTGCTTCACAGCATGTGGAGGCTTTAATCTGAAGTTCTTCTTCTCAAAAAGCAAGCTCAGCTCCTCGACTGCAGTTTATACATATATATAAAAAGAATATGTTATGATGTGCACGGCATGCTGCCTCCAGACTGGGGAGGGGGGGAGAGTGAGTGTAAGGTTTTGCTCTTTTCTGAGACCATCTTATACGTGGCATCTGTAAAGGCACCTCTCTGTAGTGTTCTGGGGTGACGTGTGTGATGCCCCCTCCTTGACTTCCTTATCATTTCCTACTTATTATCACTGCCACCAAAGGCTCTTGCTTCAGAATTCTTAGTTCAGGGGTGTCAAACATGCGGCCCCGGGGCCAGATCAGGCCCCTGGAGGGCTTCTATCAGGCCCGCAGTAGAACTGGCTGTCTTCTGCTTCTTCCAGTTCTGCTGCTGCGTAATTGTAAGTTTTCAGCTTACAGATACACATCTGAACAGCATACTCAAGATTGCAACAGCACAGACATTATTCAGTGCAAGAGGTGTCAGTTATCAGACACTGTTAAATAAACAAAATATTGCAAGAGTGCTACTGTTTTAAGCATGTTTTTATTTTAAGTAAAAAAAAAACACCTTTGTGTTTGTGTCCTTTATAAAATTTATATCTCTACTACCTGGCATTACATTTTATGACACACATGGCCCGGCCCAACAAGGTCTCATTTATGTCAGATCTGGCCCTCAGAACAAATGAGTTTGACACCCCTGTCTTAGTTGGTCCCAAAGACCAGGATGGCTTAGTTATATTTTGCAGAATGACAGAATGGTCATACGTGGGGGTGGCTCTGAGGTAAAAGGGAATTCTTTACTCTAAATAAAATAGTCTTCGTTTAAATAAAACAGTTTAGTCTTAAACACAAATAAAATTTATTTAGAAGTATAACAGTAAAGGTCATAAGCATAATGGTTTCAGATAGGTACAGTTCTTTTTTCTCTAAAGTTCCTTAAATAGACCTAGCCACAAAGGCTTATTTTCTCACTTGTCACTTAGGCTAATAATTTCCACTAACACAGGTTCCTCACACTCCACACAGCACCTCACTCAATCCCCTTCTCACAAACACAATCCCCTTCTCACAAACAAACTCTCTCCACAAACAAGTCAACTCCACCCACTAGGGCACAGCTACGATCCCATCACAACACACATCAATCAGCCACCCAGCCCCCTTATTCTACAATCTTACTCTGCATTTAACCCACAGGCACATATATATAAAACATATCACAGTGAAGGATTACATATCAAAACATCACAGTGAAGGATCCAGAACACAAGATAAGGGACAGCAGCAGCTAGACATTGACATGTCCCAGGCATAAGTGCAGTGCCCACAGGACTAAGAAGTTAACAACTTAATTGTTGTTGCTTGTTCTGTTGATTGCAAACTCGCTTGCTGGGCTGGAAAAGCACCATATAATTTTTCACAAAAAGTATTTATTTAGAAGGTGTATATGCCACCTCTCGAGGTCAAACGTTATACCATAAAATTAAAAAAGCAACCACCATAAGAATCACCCAGTATTAAAAACAAGCCATAAAACTGTTAAAACAGCATTCAGTGGCCTAAAATGATATATATAGGTCAAACCTCAGTCTAAAAGCAGGCAGTAAAATCAGGGGGGGAAATGGATTTTAGAGGCCTGGATAAAGAAAAACGCCGTGGCTTGCATTTCAAAAGACAGCAATGGGTACAACAAGCAATGAAATGCAACGAAAAAGTGAGGAACAGAGAAAAACCTAAGGGGTGGGGTGGGTAGGAGAGTTCTGCTTACTTTATAAGGACATTTTAAAAAATCAGGATGAATGAATACAGCTTGAAACCTGTAGCGTTTTTGCCTATTAGCAATAAAGGCTCTCTTTTCTGAATCTGGTTGGGTTTGTGTCACATCTGCTCCAGCAGCAAGTTGCCCCCAAAGTCAATCAATCACTGCTGGTGGATCGGCATCCAATCTGCCTGCCCTCAGCTCCCAGCTCTGCTCTTCATCCGCCTGCCTGGATTGGTGCATGTCCCAAAGATTTACATGCTGCCCCTCCTGAGGATTGGAACTGCTGCAGAGGCAGATTGGACGGGGACTTCCAAAGCTGGCATTGTGGGGGGGTGTGTGTGTGGCTTCATTTGTTAGACTGCCAAATTAAAACTTGTCAGGCTGCGACTAAGTCATGTCTTCTGCTTAATTTTTGAGCCAGCAGACCTGCCTGGGTATTGAGATAGAGGAATAGCAGGTGCGGGCACCTGGAAAAAAAAACAGAGATACCCAGTAGGGTTGTGCAAGATACGGGTTAACTCAGAAGAGTACAATTAAATTCTCTCTGCTAACTGTGAGAGCAAATATGCCAACGTCTAGGAACAGGCTTTGTTCCAGCTATTATGCTTATTTTAAAGACAAAAAAAAAATCTCATTTGCAATTATGTTCTTGCCAGCACTGTACAGAGTTCTTTCTTGCGCCTTTTTGGAAAGCATCGTGTCCCCTGGAGTTCCAGGCATGCATTTCATAGGCTTGACCACATGGAGTGAGTGTTTCAATATGTAGTTTTGTTTCTCGGCAAACTCTGGGGAGGTGTCGCTTTATTGTCTCCTCAGCTGGCACAGACCTCGAGAACATCTCTAGATTTTGCCGCCACTGTTTAGCGTGGCATCTGCTTCAGTGGAGTTTTTTTCACTCGAGTTGAAACCTTGTGTAATTCTGCAACCACCTGGGACAACAGCACCGACCAGGGAGGAGAGAAAAGGGCCAAAAGATCTCCAGTATCCTAAATTTAATTGCACTGCCTGCGCCAGGGTTTGCAAACTGGGAGTTCGTTTGCACCCTTCCTGTTAAGTGGGATTCTAAATTATACATCTCTAAAACGAACTGTGGACAATGCTACCTAGGTTTTCCCCATAGCCATGGTTTGCAAACCTGCTTCAAATTATGGGTTGAATGCATTTGGAGAATTTCCACAAGCGCAAGGATAGGGGATTTTTGCCACTCCCTCCCCTGCCACAAAACCTCTGACTCCACCCTCATGCTGTTCCCAGGGATCCCCTGTCCCTCAGGAACAGCATTTGGGAGCAGAAGGGGGGGAAGACAGAAATCTTTTCCTTCCATGGAAATTTTCAGATGGATCCAAGCCCATCTTTTCAAATCTTGAGGAAAACTAATTAGTATTAACTATGGTTGATGCACATGAGGCAACACCATGGTTAAGACTGATGCACATGAGGCAACACCATGGTTAAGGCTACCAAGGGAAGTGAGGGGTGAATTTGCTTGGGAGAAAGGGGGAGAGAGGATACTTGCAAACCCATGGAGTGTGCCTGATTTGCAAATCATGGTTTGCCGGAAGTCAACGTCTATGTCAGCACCAACACAAAGTATTGTGAGGTGGTGCACAAAGAATAAACCAGAGTCAGCCGAGCTGCCTAGTGAGCAATCGGAGGCAGAAATGATGGACAGGAATCAGAGCCAGAACCATTAAGGACCGCTGCTACCCAAGCAAAGTCCCAGGCTAAAACAGAAGACTTTGCCGTCCTTCCTATTCAGGACTAGCCACTAACTAATCCGAATGGATGGAGTTACTCCAGGACATTTTATTGTCTTTGGAATGCTCTGCCCTATTTTCCCAGTGACTCATCACAGAAGAAAGCAATGCGTAGACTGGTGGATTCCCGCTTTTCAACCATCCCCGTCTACACTGCCTTGAGGTCCCTAGAGGAAGGGCAGGATACAAATGGGGGTAATTTTTTTAAAAAGCATTTTATGTAGAGCTATGCATCAATGCATGTATTGTGTGAACAGATGCAAAGCACAAACTGGAGATGAGACTGGATTAAATGTTCAGTGGTACATGGAAAGAGGTTTTTTAAAAAAGCAGACATGTTTTCAGGTGTATTAATAGAAGAATCCAAGATAGTGTGCCCAGAAGGATTAAAGGAACACTGTTTGTAATTCCGCAAGCCCCTTTCTGAAAAAGATATTACAAAGGGCAGACGGTTCTGTGAAGGGCAACTGGAGTGAAATATACAGTGGCTTAAACAGAAGAATGGATTAGGTGGCTCCTGGTTGAGAAAGAGGTGCAAACAAATCTACATACTGAAAAGAGTCCAAGGAGCTTTCGCAGGTTAGGCAAAGGGGAAGAAGAAGCCTGTTGTCTGGACTAGGAAACACTGGGCAAGAGTCGAAGAAATCTGGAAGAGGTTCTGTGAGGCCTGAGGGGGCTTTAGAGGTGAGCTCCGTCATTCAGTACCTTCCTCTCTCTGTGTATGGCAATACATTTTTTGTGGGAGTTTCAGAATCATGAGGTTGGATCCGCTGATGCACCAGCAGAAAGATCCTTGAGCCAGAAGAGACTGCTGCTGCTAGTGGACAGTGGAGTGTATCTGGGGGAGCCAATCCAATTTGAAATATTATAGGAAGTCAGCTGCTCACATAAAGAAAAATAATCAGAAATTTCATGAGGTAGATCTGTGTAAAGGTTACCGAACTGGACTTGGAACTGGGAAACTGAGGTTCGAATTTGCAATTGAAACTCAAAACACACATGGCTGTATCAGTCCCCTGCCATCAGGAACAGTTCTGGCATGGGTAGGGGGAGAGGCATGGAGGGGGCAGCATTTACATCGGGGAATGGCATGGGAGGAAAAGACATATGTACAGAACAAATGGAAAAACACAGAATGTAGCCTTCTGCTTTGGATCCTTCCTGGAAACTGAGCAGTATTTTTGAATACTTTCCGGGAGAAGATAAATGTTGTACTTCTGTCACCAAGCACTGGCTCGTTTTGGGGTAAGGCTGTTCTTTGGGTATGGCGGCCCCCAAGCCATGAAGTGCACTAAAGGTTTAAAAAACTCAAACAAGAAGCCATATTCAGGAATCTCCCATGTTCTATTTAGCTCAGCCCTGATGCATGATATCCACTATCTCTCCACCTAGCCTACTTCACAGGGTTGTTGTAAGCTAAAAATGACGTAACATCACATGCATTGTCCTGAGTTCCTTGGAAAGATGCAGATGCAACAAAATAAAATGAAAATGAGCTAGTGCAAGTCAATTCCATAAACTTAACTCATTCTTTGGAGCCTAGCCATAGTATGGATTTTACAGATTCTGTAAATGTTAAAAATCTAGGCAGCTGAGAAGACACATGAAATCTTGACTGAAATTCCAGCATCCCAGATGAGAGAGAGGTGAACTAAGAGTCCCAGTTTTCCCCATCTTATAGCTTACAGCAACCTCCACTTTTAACCTTTGAACAATGCTTTGAACAGAGTCTAAGCTAACCGATTGTGTGGAATAGGTGTTTCAGGATTGTTAACCTTTGCTGAACCCTTGCCTTGAAAAAACAAAGTAAAGACTAACGCAAAACATCCATTAAAAGTTCTCCTATAATGACACACCCATGTAACTGGCAACATTAAATTGCATTGCACATGCTGGAAATAAATATGGATCGCAAAATGCTTGAAGCAAAAATTAAAACATGAGAAAGTTGGGCTATATTCAGACTTCATGACAAAGCATGGTTTTTGCAACAAACTCTGGTTACTCAGCCTGTAACAAACCCTGGTTTGTGCATAAATCACACTGCCTGCTTCTGCCCACCTCTCTGCCTCCCCAGGGGGGAAGACATTCTTCTTATATTGCTGGCTCTGTGACCAGTAATCCACAAGGGCAGTACTACTCAAAAAGTTATGGAACAAAATTTGAGTACAGTGGCATCTTTAAGACCAACAAAGTTTTTTTATTTTTTATTTTTATTTATTTATTTTTTTATTTATACCAACGGCTCAGGGCGGCTTACATATGGCAAAGCCAGAGTAAAATACAATAAAGCATATAATAAAATACATATTTAAAACACAATAAAACCATCCTATCATACGGTGCTGAGCCTATATTTAATCTTCCAAGATGGGACAACCACCTAAATTTGATGGCCAGCTCTCTCAGCAACGCGGTCTCCTGCTACGTTGTTCTACCAGGCTGGGCCAGTCCCCCTTTAACAGGGCGGTCCTTCAGGTTTAATTCTGGGTATAAGCTTTCATGTGCTTGTTGGTCTTAAAGGTGCCACTGGACTCAAACTTTGTTCTATTGCTGCAGACCAACATGGCTACCCACCTGAATCTATCAACAAATTATGGTTTGTGAATTCAGACATCACAAGTCACATTTACAAGTCACATGCAGAAGGTCCCAGGTTTGGTTCCCAGCATCTCCATTCAAAAAGGTAACCAGGAGCCAATCAAAACAAGCCATGGGCATAAAAACAACTCTAAACAACCATTAAGTAGCCTAAAACAAAACAAAACAAAAACCAGTCCTCAGGCTAGAGGCAGACTGTAAAACACAAAAGTACAAAACTCCTTAGTTAAAAGATTCGGATGAAATAAATCTTTTGGCTTGGAGGCTCAGAGACAATAAAGTAGGCACCAGGTGAACCTCAAGCAAAAGGACATCCCACAGATGATGTGGCACCACTGAAAATGCCCTGTCTGTAGTTCCCAGCTGCCTCACCTCTGAAGATGGAGGTGTAGAGAGTTGGGGTTGGGAGACACAACTGGTGGGCTGGACAGTAAAGGAGCAGGTAGCCTGGCTTTGGTTTAATTGCTGAAGAACCTCTCCCTGTATGCCATAAAGATACTGTATCTTGTAGGATTTTGAACCATATTCCAGAAAGGTGGGCACACTCCGTTCCTACAGGGCATGAGCCAGGCCTGTTGGGTGTCACTTGCTGGGATCACACATGAAGTAACACTATAGAAGACATGGGGGGGGGGAGAGAGCAGATGAAGAGACAAGGGAAGAGGAGGATGCGCAAGCCCAATGCTTTGTGACAAACTGTCAAATCAAGGTCTGGTGCTTATCTGAAATGGCCCACTATGTGCCTGTGTGAACTCAAGATCAATCACTCCTCCCCTGCAAGCTTGTATTTTGGGAGATGATATGTAGAGGCAGGTGAGTAGCACTTCAGGAAAGTCTGGCCACTGTTCTTGATCATCTCATGGTGGAATTCCCCAATAAGTTACCGAGAGACACCAGGGTTCCATGGACCACAGTATGAAAGAGATCTGATGCTGGTTATATGATGGTTGGTGGAGTTTTTGTTTGTGTTTGTTTATTATGTTTGTTTGTTTATCAGTGTTTGGAAAACCCAATAAAAATTAAAAAAAAAAAAGAAAGAAAGAGATCTGATGAAATACCTACAAATTTGAATTTCCCCCTCTATTTTTTTTCTGCCCTGTGTGACTGCAGCAACTGTGGCTGTTTGCTCTTTTTCACATGAAATTTTACAAACCAATGATTTTTTGTAAATGAAAACAACCATTGCAATGTTAAAGCCTGGCAAATCATTAAGAACGGTATTTCTTTTCTTTTCTTTACCTGAATAGGATGTGTTTTTCTCTTTCCACTGCACGTTCTTGCATTTTATCTGATTCTGTCTCTCTTTCCGTAGCCGTTCTAGTCTCTGAGCTTGAAAAGAAATATTATAACGATAAGTTTGTCAATGAAAGTTTACTATAAACAAAGACATAATTAACTACCTTTCTATGAATAAAGATGTTTTATACAGCGAATGTAGGGTGGGGGGGGGAAGAGCCATAAAATTTTAAAGGTGGCACCCCTGAAAAGCAAATACCAACAAAAACATGAAAATGTTCTTGATTTATAATTGAAATTAGAGGATATAAAACATTAATAGAGATCATAAAGATAGTATTAACATGGAAGAGAATAATAAAATGTGAAAACTTCTGTGATTAATATGACATTTCATTATATAAATCATTAATAACGGTCTTGAAGGAATTTTAATGCACAAATGAACTGAAGTGAATATTACATTACAGGAATAAAATTACTGTTATGAATTACTCTCCCCGTTTCAAAAATTAAAGATAAATGAACTCAGACTAGACTATTAAAGTTTTAAATATAAAATCCTTTATCTAAAAAAATCGTGAAAATTATAAAATGTCAACGCTATATAAATTAGCATCGCTTTTTCTTCGGTGTGCCGAAACAGTTTATAGGTAGTAAAAATAAATGATTTGTATCTTCACAAACATTAGTCAAATCTTTAAAAATGAACAGCATTTTCTCTTTACATATCTTTCGACTCTACATCCTCGAACAGGACACGCTCACATAGGTGAAATATTGGCATCCGAGAGGCTGGATCTCCTCTGGCTCCTTAAATTCTCCCTATGTTTTGATGTCAGATTTATTTTGGGAGACAAAAAAAAAGTCAATTTAATAATCTGGTAAGGAAGACTGCCTTAAAAGGCACAGGCTGCTGGAAACTAGCATGGCAGCTATGATGACTAAAAGGTAGCAGGAGAATGAAACGGTTGGGGGAAATTAAATTTATATTTTTGTGTGTAAACGAAAGAGAGACTTATCAACCAACTAAGCAATCTTAAGCGAGAAATGAGATCCTAAGCACATATACAAAGAACCCAAGACCACCTGAAATCAGAGACACTTATGACTGAATAAATGTGCTTAAGAAACGTGCTTAAGAAAGGCTCTTTTAAGATACTGTAACAGGAAGAGAATTACTGGATGTAAAGGCAGACAGTGGGACTCCTGTGCGTTTAATTGCTGCACAGCAGAGGGGGGTTCAGGAGGTGCACCTCTTTCTCATCCCTACCTGGCAAACTGCAACTCCTGAATTTCCCTTTTCTATGCAAATGTTAAAGGATGCAGGAACCCTATGGTCTGACCTGTGCATCTGCTCATCCTGCAGAGAAAGGGAATAAAGTGGATGCATGGAGGGGGGGAAGCAAGTCCCCATCTTGCAAACTGGCTCTCTGACCCAAAAAGGCTGCTCTGAAATACCATACAAACAATATTAAAATTACTTTTCCATCTTGAGCAAAAAGGACTGAGTGTGCACTAACAGTACTATTGTTACATCTACCATGGCTCTGTGCTGTAGGAATAACCAAGTTTAAGTTGCACCACAATAAGGTACAGAGTGGGATCAGACATTTGTTGCTACATGAATGAGTCTAGGACTGTGGGGCTCACTTGAGCCATTCTACCTCCTCTCTCCTGTCATAAGACAAGTACTTCAATATTTGCACTGCATCTGAAACGGCCCACTACGATTTGCACTTACCCTGAAAACAAGGATGCTGAACAGCAGCATGAATTTGGAATCCCAATTTCCAGGGCATACGCAAGCCAGTCAACCAGCTTGGATTCAATGGTAAACTATGGTTTGCTACATACAGAGGAATAGCCAATTATGTTGCTGCAGGAGAGGGGAGGTGGGATCATATGAGCGGCCCCAGGCTTATTCATGGAGACCCATCGACAGGCTTTTGTCTTTCTGCTTAGTTGTGGTGAATGGGAGGAGGAGCTGCACTTCCCCCCCCCCCAAGCATCTTTAATGATAGCTTTGGGTTATTTTGTTTTCTTAAAACACTGTTTCCTGTTCATAATTGGGCAAGGTTGCTTATTTCAGCAGAATTTACTTCTGAGCTCTAGGTGGTGTTGTACTACCTCTGAAATGTAGAAATTTAGCTGTCTGTATAACTGATAAGAAAACAGAATCAGGATCCCTTCCCATCTTTTGCTTATTACAAAGACTATAGGGGACACCATGTGTGCATATGATGGAGACTTCGGTGGCAAGGAAACAGTTTCAGGGATATGATGGAGAGTCCAGCAGTAAATCACTGTCCGGATCAGAGTGGGAGGGAGAAAGTGAAAGAGAGGTTTCTCAACCACGACCGAACACAACAAGATCAGAGCCTCAAACACATATTTACAAAAACCAAACGGTTCACCTATTGCTGGTGGGGATGAAGTACAGGTTGCAGAGAACCTTTCCTGAACTCTTCTGCCAAGGTACCTAGAGACTGCTGTGGCTGAAAAGCTGCTCTTTGGGTTGAGGGACCTTTTGGAATGGGGTGGGATGCAGAGGGGTGGGGGGCTCCACAGCACAAAAGAGTAACTGTCAGATATCCTCCCCACCATCACTTGGGTGAGCTTGATGGTGAATGTACCATGGGGTTGTGTGTATGTGTGCGCAGGGTGTCTGTGTTCTGCAGTTTCCCACTTTGTGCTGCACCCTGTGCCATTTCCATGTGTTCCCCCTCCTCCAACAAAGAGCTTTTGGGGTGTGCAAAAGATTGCAGGGGAAAGGAACTCTCTGAATTCACTCCCTTCACACACAGTATCCAAGCCAATATTTTTAGAATTTTCAGGAAGAAAGATGATTACAGCTACACATATGCTTGCTTTTTGTAGGATGGCCATTTGAAACACACATATTGTTAGCCTTCCGAAACTGTAACATACATTCTATCATTGCTATGAGATCCCCCCCCCCCCCGAAGAGACATTACAACCCAAAACTTATTGAAATACAGTAAAATTGCCTGGTTCAAGAAATGTTCCATGTACCCTCATTGTGAGGCTCCCTCCACCCTCAAGACGGTCTTCCTGACATCCACCATCCCACCACTAAAGCGTACAACTTGCCCACCAGCCTCATAATTGAAAAAGGGAGGGGGTTCCAGCACCCAGGTCTTCTTCCTTCCTCAGACTGCCTTCTCCCTCTCCGCCCCTTTTATAAGATTCCCTGGCCCCACCCCCACCTTGACAATCTCTAATCTCCTTTCACCTGCTCCATGTGGGAGACTAAAAAAAAGAAAGAAAGGGAAGCATTTCCTGCCTCTTCCCCCGGCTGCCTGTCACCCTGCCCTGCTCTTGCGCTCTGCTGCTCAGGGCTGCCTTGTAACTTCTGCCATTCTGGCCTTCCCTAGTCTGAGCTCAGCCTTGTCTTCTGACCACGTCTCTCCTCGCCTCTGCCTGGCTCTCTGCCTTATTCTCGGCTGTGTCAGAGTGACCTGGCTGGGTCCCAGAGACCTCACTATCCCGGCCTTCCTCGCATGGGTGAGTCTGGGCTTCCGCTGTCCTCAGCTCTGGCAGCTGAGGCAGGTCAAGATGGGGCCAGGCGTTTACTCCTGACACTCCTGAATTCTTCACTGCTCGTTGCCTTCGGCCTCCTTTCTGCCCCCCCCCCTTCAGCGGTATCGAACTGCCTGCCACTCTCAGGAACAGATATTGCACACTCCACTTGAATTCTACACTCTCAAACACTGTTCCCTCTAAGCTGAGTTAGTGTGAGCTAGCTCACAGTTTTTTAGACTCCGGCTCACAACTTTTTGTCTTAGCTCAGGAAGGATGGCTCCAGCACAAACTAATTTATGCAGTAGCCAAATTGCTCGCTCACAACTTTAATGCCAGAAGCTCACAAAGTAGAATTTTTGCTCACAAGACTCCACGGCTTAGAGGGAACAGTCTCAACATACGCAGTCCTGGGTTGAGTCCCTGATTTCTGAGGCTCCTGGTTCAAGCTCCAGAGATCCTGACGCAATTTCATGACAAGCTCACCTGTGTTCGACCGCCTTCTGATGCCAAAGTCCCAGCTTGAGGTAATGTCGACTGATTGGGAGTATACGTAACCCTGAGACTCGCCGTTGCTGCCCTGCGTTTCTGAGCCACTGTCCCCGTTGGCTGAAGAGGGATGGAATTTCTCCAAGTCGACATCGTGGTCAATCAGGACCATTTCACACATCCCCGTGTCATCACTGGTCACATGCGACTGTCGGATGTGAGCCAGGATAATGGTTGGGTTGTCCAAGAAGGCCATCCTGTTTGGGAGTTCTTCCACCTTCTCCTACTATCTTCTTTGCTCCATGCTGAGCTACACGCATGCCTAAAAATGACAGCATAACACACAGGATGCTTTAAAGAAAATTAAGGAGTATGCCTGCGTATCTTCATGGAGGTCAACTAATGGCTGTTGGCCATCCCCCCTACTTTGAACGTGGTTCTCTCTCTTCTTGCTGCAGACCCTCAGTTTGTCTCTCATGCCATTCCTGAGGGTCATCTGTCCCCAGGAGCAGCATTTCAGGGATAATGGTGGGCGGCTGCTCTGAGGAGGGAGAGGCAGGAATGTTCTGTCCAACTGAAACAAGTGCCTTCCGTGAGTGAAAACTTCACTCTGGATCTAACCCAGTATCTGGTAATCAGATGGTTCCATTTAACATGGAGGTTCGATTTAACTCTCATGGTTATTGTCTTTGTGGTTTGCTGTGTGTGCCTCCAGGCACCTGCCCGGATGCTAGTGGAGACAAACTAGACTGGACAGACCATTTCGACACAATGAATAAAAAAATACATGGCACAGTATTCCTAGTAATATTATTACTGATGGTTGTTTGGCTTCAGCAATGTCTTAACATCCTCTAACCATTGTCTGAGCAGTGTCTCAAATGTGCCTTATAACATCCTGTGTCTTATCAGCAGTGTTATTAACAGTATATTAACAAATATTAAATATCTTACAGTAATGTCTAAATGGTGATTTAATGTTGCCCTTCGTAATTCTTAATTAACTTTTTAATCATGTTCTAACACTGCGCTGAAGCCAATATTGTAATGTTTATTAAGTGTACAGTTTTCTTCTTTATAAGCACTAGTTTATTTTAACAATAAAAATAAAAAGTTAGGACTTAAAAAGGGGGGGATCTAATAATTTAAAAGCGTAATAATTACAACAGATGCACTGTACACCTTTCAAGAAGGGCTCACATGGCAAAACAATCTCAGATCTCTTTAAAACATTGTGTGCTGCCAACAAGCCCAAGAGAAGCTAAAATAAAGGACAAATTGTGAATTGTGAATGTGGCCATTTCAACTAACGTACCATGTATGTCTCTTATGTTTCAATACCAGTGGGAGAAGTCATTAATTTAAATTGGGGGGTGGGGTTCCCCATTCCTTTATGGTTTTGGGGTTTTTTTAGGAACTGGCCATAAGACTGCACACATAATACATTTCGTTTTATGCTTGACTTCTGTTATCTGTTCTGGATCTGAGACTCAGGAGGGTTCTAAAGCAAAAACAAAACAATATTTTGCATGCACGAGCATTGACAACTGGGGAGGGACCATGGTTCAGTGGTACAGCACCTGCTTTTCAGTGCGGAGGGTCTGGGTTCAATGTTGACCTCCTGTTAAAGGATATTAAATAGCAAGCTTTTTCTGCATGGGATTCTGGAGAAGTACTACTGGGCAAACCTAGGCCTGTGCTTTATCGTTTCAGACTGCAGGTGGGAACTTGTGTGACTGAAGGCTCCTACATGATTGCATCTACTCATGCCACAGTGTGTGTGCATCAGCAACAGAGTACCTGCTTTAAGTGCTGAAGGTTCCTGACTGGAATATCCACCTAAAGAGTCTGAGGAACAGCACAAACAAAAAACAAATAAGATTTCTAGGTTCGGGGAAGGACTACAGTCTGATGGTGGAGATTACATGATTTGCATACAGAATGTCCCAGGTTCCATCACTAGCACTTCGAGTAAAAGATGCTAAAAACAGGCTTTTTCAGGTGAAGGCTCTGGAGAGTCACCACCCAGTCAGAGGACAACATATTGAGCTAGATGCAACAATGGTCTGGCTCAGCATATGTCTGGGTTAGAATTCAACTGGATGCACCTGAGGGCCATGGGGACTCTTGGAGCTGCATTATGAAAGTCACTTTGTATGTAGAACATCCTAGATTTAATCTTTGCTACCTTTAGTTGAATGATCTCAGGTAACAGGCATGGAGAACAACGTTTCTCTGCCTGGGACTCTGGGAAGCTACAGTCAAATCAGAGCTGACAATATTGAGCTAGGTCCCCCACATTAAAAAAAAAAAAAAATCCCTGCACAGACAAATAGAAATCTAGGGAAGTGGTTCAAAACTAGCCTTTCCTCTGAGATGCTGGCTTTCTATGTGTAGGGACTTAATTGTTGCACAGAAACAGCACGTGACCCCTCATCTACAGTCTGAAGTGGTACAATCCAAAGTTCAGCTTACCTGCTGATTGTGAGAACTGGGCCTAAAAAGGAAGGTCTAAAGCCAGGTGTATGCACACGCAGGAGAATGAAGTAAAATGGACTGCACCACTCTACACTGTAGGTGAGAAATTCAAGTTTTTAACATTTTCCCATGTAAACAGTGATATAGAGAGGAAAATTTCCCACAAGTGAAAAGTTTTTTTTGGGGGGGGGGATTTCTCCCTCATGTAAGTGTAGTCAGGGCTGTTGTGCTGTAAATCAATCATTTCAGATCAGCTAAATGTGGGATATGATGCATGGGCAAAACCCAGTGCTTGTACATGGTGCATTTGCCTTCTTTTGCTATCATTATTTAAATATTTAATATTTTATTTTAATGCGACTTGGAAAATTTCCCAATTCAGATTTTCCACCCCAAACCCCACATCATTACATGCAAACAATCCCATGCAACAGCAAATCAGCACACTGGGGGAAGGAGCTCTAGTTAGCCTGTTTCCTGTGCTGTTAGTTTTCTACTTAGAGATTTTTTTATATATGGGAGAACATAAGAAGAAGAGGAGAAGAGATTGGATTTATACCCCGCCCTTCACTACCCGAAGGAGTCTCAGAGCGGCTTACAAACTCCTTTCCCTTCCCCTCCCCACAACAGACGCCCTGTGAGGTAGGTGGGGCTGAGGGAGCTCTGACAGAAACGGCTCTTTTTCAAGAACAGCTGTGCCAGAACTATGGCTTGCCCAAGGTCATCCAGCAGGTGCAAGTGGAGGAGTGGGAAATCAAACCCGGTTCTCCCAGATTAGAGTCCGTGCACTTAACCACTACACCAAACTGGCTCTCTACAGTATTCATTGTCTATTCCCGTGTGTTTGTGGTGGTACAATCCACTCAGTATTTCACCACCACATTTCGCCAAGTCTTGCTCTTTTTCCTAAATGCCAGTTGGCTGAGAGGAAGTTCCATGGGAAGTGTACCACTGAACAGAAAGACCCTGGACAGGTTGCTATCCACTGAGCTTCAGCAGTTGTAAGACTTGCCTGGGAGGGGGAGAGTTATTGGAACCCACCCCGCACAGATCTCTGTCCTCCCCCCTCCCAGCTAGTCTAGCACCTGCACTTCTTCTCCAGCCCTCCTCCCAGAAATCTTGATTCTCTCCCACCCCACCACCAATTATCATCCTAAACTGCACTGTTCACACCATCTGCTTCCACCTTCATGACTTCTTGCTGAGAAGCTGGCAAAGAAGCCATAAAAGAGGAAAGAAAGAGCGAAAGAGAGCCAGTGAGAGCAGTGACACACTCAGCAGTATTTCTTCATTCACCTAAGACTCCTCTGGAGGAGGAAAGTGATCCCCAGGCCCTCTGTGCTAATTAGATCTGGGAATGCAGGTGCTGAGATTAAAGCCACTTTCTTTCCTTGAGCCTGAATGAGCATCCAGTCACTGTGAAAGTCCAGTTTCTTTCACTGGGCTATAATTGCTTTAATGTAAAGAGAGAAGGTGAGACTGTTGTCCCAGGGCAAGTCATTAGCAGATGTTTAATGTTTGGCAACAAAGGTCACCCTGGACCTTTAACCACACATGCACACATTTTGAACCCAAGTGTTTTAACATTTGCAGAGCACACCCAGACCAAGAAGCTTCTGAAGACTGAGCCAAACTGGATGCTTTGGTATTAACTAAACAGGAGAGAGGGGAGAAACATGCACATAAAACAAAGTGTGATGCAGAAAGATGCTCAGACAGACATATACATGTGATCACACCCTCACGTGCTTTGGTTCCTTGCCTTTATTAGAGAAATTGTTAGATTGCCCTTCCATTAAAACAGTACCTGGAGAGGCTTACAGGAGGTATAAAATGCAAACACCATGTTTGAATTGGAAAGCAACAACGCAACGACAACAAAAACAAACCAGCAAAAGCAACAATCCTAAATAAAACCATTAAAACATCAACAGGAACAACTGAGTCATATGACAGATAAACCCAGCAGTTAGTGGAAAGGTTTTTTAAAAAACAAAATCCAGAAACATCAGAAGCTAGAGGGGTAACAGAAGAAGGTAAGGGGTTCCAGTGTCCAGCAGAGCTCTCAGCCTCTCACCACAATCAGTGAAACCAAAACAGAAAAGGTACAAATTATGTTAAATGATTCAAGTTTGCACACAGCCCACAGAATCCAGCTTTTCCCGGATGCAGACTTTGATTGCCTGGAAGAGAAAGCTGTAGAACTGGGGTGGCCAAATTTGCTTAACGTTAAGAGCCACATAGAATGAACGTCAGATGTTTGAGAGCAAGACATGAACACATATTACACACGTTTTTATTGAAAGAAAGGTGGAAAGAGAAAGGGGGAAGGGAAGGGAAGGGAGAAAAAGAAAGGAAGGAAGGAAGGAAGGAAAAAAGGAAGGAAGGAAGGAAGAGAAAGAAAGAAGGAAGAGAAAGAAAGAAGAGAAAGAAGGAAGGAAGAGAAAGAAGGAAGGAAAAGAAAGAAAGAAAGAAAGAAAGAAAGAAAGAAAGAAAGAAAGAAAGAAAGACAGAAAGAAAGAAAATAGATGGGGGGAGAGGTGGAAAGAAAGCAACTTTAACGTTAAATGTGTCCTCCAAGCCCCCCCTGCCCCCATGCCGGCTAGCTTGGCTTGGAGAAGGGATTTAAAGAGATAAATGCCTTCTCCAAATCGGATTGGGGGAGGGGCTCTGAGAATGCATTTGCATTTACTGTTCAAACTGTTTATAAAACTTTCAATAAAACATCTTTTTAAAAAAAGAGAGAATGCATTCAAAGTTCAAGTTGCTTTCTGTCTCTGCATTGGCTGGGGAAGGGAAGACCAATTGGGGAGGCATGCCTCTCCTTTGCTTCCCCAGCCACTG